TAAGAGATCAAATATTGAATATTTTACCCATACGTTTCGATTTAATTTCAAAATACTCATCAAAATATACATGAAAATGAGCTATAATTGTTGAAAAAATATATTAAATTGTTTAAAAATTAAATATATTTTACTAAATTTTCAAAAAAAAAAACCGTCAACCATTGAGAGCCGGCAGAAAGGAAGAGAAGCTTTACAAGCTTGTCTCTTGGCTATGCATGATAACACAGATATAGCACATCGTTTGGTGAGGGGGTCTCAGTCTTATAGACCAAAAGAAGCGCCAATAAATATCATCTCTAATTCCTCCTTGAAGGCGAAAAGATATTCTACTCCCTCGGGACTATATCTTTACATATTTCTCAAAGAAAAAGTTTGAAATATAGCCATGGAACACTAATGTTAATTGAAGCAATTACTATTAAAATAAGTAAAAGCAAGGCTATCTGAAAATATTAGTCATCAGTTTAATAGTATTTATTTTAGCTCTTTGTGTGATAAAGATTATCTACTGGATATTGAAAAAATAAAGAAATAAAAAGCTTCCCCAGATAAAGAAAGGGTTACTATATTATTACAGTGGTGAATGCTACATGGTTACTGCAGATACAGAAACAGACTATATTTGATGATTTTTTTAAATCAAATTTGAATAAAAACACGGTTTGAATTAGTTTGAAATGATTTGACTGAGAATCAGAGAGGGTAGAGTTCAAGATCGAGAAAGACTCTAATTTTTTTGACATTCAGATTTGAAAAACTGGGACTTTGAAAGAAATAGATGTGATAGATATTGCACTTAGGTGAAAAACAATTGGATTCCAGTATTTTTTTTTCGAGTGAAATGAATTGAGGGATTAAAAGTTGGGGAATATCCCCTGATTCACTAACTACAATGAACAAGGAAAATCGTGCAAATCGGGGTGAGTTACGAGTTTAGGGGCATCTAGATTGGTGATCACCTAGTTCTGAGTCGGATTGGGTGATTCCTGACTCAACAATTTTTAATCACCGACTTGAACATGTTAAATGGAGCTTTATATCATGCTCCCCCTCAACATCCATGGTCGGTTGGTGGTAACTGTACTAGGGATAACTGGCAAGTGAGGGAGACCAGAGCCCGACTATACGTCTGGCCATACTGCTCTTTCTTTTATTTTGTTTTTTTTTTTTTACAAGGAATTGGAATATGTGCTCCGGAATCCAATCCCACCATCCATCCACCATGGATGCTGAATGAGGAATAGGGAGCATGCTATACAATGCTACCTAAGGATCACACAATCCTCCTAGTGCTAGGGCCAAACTATGCTGCTCATGTCTGGGGTTTCTCAGGGTGATATTGCACTAAGACTTGGTTTAAATAGAGCCCTTATAAAATAAAAATAGATAATCCAAGTATTGTGTCACCAACTATAACATGCATAGCACATTGATTCCGAAATCCTTTAAAATTATGAATGTCTCTTTCCAAATGACTTTTTAATGGTAAATCTAATGTTTGCCTCTTGATTGAAGGAAATAACCACTTTATATCTTATCTTACAATCCACTGACTTAAATTTGTTTATTGGAGAAAAAAGAATTAGGTCTCGGAGGATTCCATGGTATACGAGATTGTAAACCATAAGAACATTTATTTTAAGTACAAAAAGATCACATATCTTTTGTAGCAATTAGAAGTGAAATCCTACTGATTGAAAAATGTCATAGTAGAAATTTTATTTTATACCTTGTGCCCACACAACTCCATCTACCTAAATTCACATCTAACGGTCAATAATGATTATAGGATGTGCTTTCTATAGGCTGAGGCCCTAAACAAACAAAATAAGGTGCACCTTCAAATAGTATCAAAAGATGGTGTTTCAGAACTGGAAACCTTTGGAATGGCTTGAAAATCTATTTTCATCTCTAATTATAAAATTTAAAGCTTTAAAAATAGTGTAGATCGAACATATCTATGAACATTTGAAAATCTTGGAAATTGTCAATCTAAAATATACATTACAAGATGCAGCAATTCTAAGACTTAAAACCATTTTAAAATCCATTTTTTCACACGTACATACATCTAAATTTGAGAATTTTTGGGCAAAAAAACGTCCTCTTCTAATAAACTTTGATGTGCGCCTTAATTTGATTATTTAGAGCCTCACCCGTATGTAAACTTTTTCTATAATTGTAGCTTCCACGTAGCAAAAATAAATAATCTTAATGTCTACATTTCCATTGGACATTTATGACCGTGACCCACACACCTTTTTTGGGGCAAACCCAAAAACTTCCAAGTTATCATTTGTTTATCTCCAAGTCAATATGAAAAGAAAATTTTTTGATTGAATCAACCCTCTCATGACCCGGTGAACCAAACCAGTTGGCAGAATCAAAAAAATTAATATTATAAATAAAAAATAGTTATCAGGCTATTCCAAGGGCTATAAACACGGATGGCTAAATCACCAAACCGGATCTTAATTAAACAGTTCAATCCTAATCTCTACTTTTTAACACCTACTTTATAGTGTATAATCCACAGGAGCATAGTATAGCGGCTATGAAAATAAGAACTATCCTTTTCTCATTATTGATGTGCATGTAAAAAAGCCACCGACCGCTGAAAGTTGAAAAAGACGGGAAGAAAAGCTTTTGTAGATTCTCGTGATAACGCCGAAATAACGCATTGTTTCGTGAGAGGCCCTCGGCCTTACCTACCCAAAAGCAGCACCCAAAAATATCATCTCTAATTTCTAGAAATTAAATTCGACCTTTCTCATATCGAGGCAAAAGTTTACCACGTGACTATTTAAAATAATGAAAGGCTATCTTGAAATCCTAGCCGTCAGTTTAATAGTAATTATTTTCGACCTTTGTGTGATAAATCTTGCCTGTGGATATTGAAAAGAAAAAAAAAATCATCCTCAACTTAAAAAAAAAGCTGTGTTCTATATGGAAAATGATTTAATAGGGCAAAATAAATAAAGCTTTACTTCAAAACTTACTGAAAATTACATTTCTCGCATCGAAAAACTTTCAAATCGATCGTCTCAACCTTCACCATTATAATTGTGATAAAAAAAAATAGGATTTCAAGTTTTAAAAATAATGTATATTATAACACATTATCCAAACTGTCAATTTTGTTATAAAAATAAGTGTTTAAAGACTTACAAGATTTGGACTTTTTTTTAGTTTCAAATTTCATAATCGGTATTTGAAATTGATTTTAGAGCCATCAATGAAGATATTTGGATGCCCAAAGTGCTTTTGGACCAAGATTCAAAGTAAAATTTTACTTTTTTTTATAAAGCTTAGGCCTTATAGAACTTGCATAATTATATATTATAGTGGTGAATGCTACATGGTTACTTCATTGGACATCCACCGCTTTTTCTGATAAGCAATCGAAAATAAGGGTAGGTTTTTTTTTTTTATGATTCCTGCACAATCAATCTCGACCATAAGCTATCGAGAGTGAATGAACATTCGTCGGTGCACAATAAGTGGTGTATGGTGCACTCAGAGGAAGGATGGAAACAATGGTGAAAGTCTGACATGTCATGATTATGCGGTCGTGTATGAATCTGTTGCAATTCCACCATGCAAAACAGCAAGAGAGGACAGAGGAAGCAGGCACGCCCTCCTCCTTGCAGATTTTCTATGGTGTTCTGTTTCTCTTCTGTCAATAAAACAAAGAATTTTAAATTCCCGGGATAGCAATTCCTCCTTTTACCCTTGGGACAAAACCCAAATTTGGGTTATTTGTAGGATCCTGAATTCTGGTAATATAACATCTTTAATTCTAAAAGAAAGGATAAAGAAAAGAAAAAAAAGTTGATGTAAAGTTCCAAACTTTATACTATTGAAACATGGTGCACCTCAAAATTCAAGTAAAAAAGGGTGTTTTCTAATTAGGAAGGTAATTAAAAAACCTTTCGATTGTTCATCTTGACCTCGAAATTTATAAATACAAAAAAAAATTCAAGTGTTAAATGTAGTGTTCGATTTTGTAACAAATTATGGGTCTATTTTCAAGTATTCATAGATCTGATCAATTTGTTCTATTACAAGAATTTTGAATTTCATAATTATAATTAAACATAGACATTTATGCAATAGTAAGGGTTTTTACATTGGGACTGCATTTCCGGACAAAACTTAAAAGTACGCCTTATTTCTATAGTATACAAAGCTCACCCTAAAGAAGAAAAAACAAGTTTTTGAGTAGGCCTGAATAAAGAGATTACTTTGGACGTTTGGTCTTACTATTAAAAAAAAAGTTTATAGAAGTGCGAGGCTCTAAACAATCAAATTAGGGTCAATCTCAAAAATTTCGGTAGAAGAAGCTTTTTTGATATTCAAATATCTTCAAATTGATCATTTCGACCTCAAGATATATAGACATGAGAAAAAATGGATTTCAAATTTTGAAAATAGTGCATCTTGTAACCTATTTTTGGACTGTCAATTTCTAAGTTTTTCATTGATTTGCTCGATCCACACTATTTTTGAATCTTTAACTTTTATAATTAGAAATAAAAAAATATTTTAAAGCTATCACAAATAGTTTCAATATTGAAATGACATCTATATTTGAATGTGGGCTTTACTTTTGATTGTTAGAGCCCTCTTACAAACCGCACCCTACACTTAAATATATCAAATATAATTTCTTTCTTTCTAAAATAATAATTTGGGTGGATCACACAATTTAGATAATACATAAAATATAATTTCCCTCCTTCTAAAATAATCATTTGGGTGGATCACAAAATTTAGATCGAAAATATTCGTGTATGTAGCCTTTTCTCCCATGGGATTAAATGTACAGAATGCGTCTCGCCGGAGCATGCTACACGCTAAAAAAAGGCACAAACAGAATGGAGGCTCTTTTTGATATATACGTTTAAAGCAGGGGAAGTTTGAGAATCTAGTAAGATAGAATGGCATCGATCACGTGGATCCCAGCTAGAGAAAGAAAGGACTGCCATTAGTTTAAAAAGTCAGAGAGAGAAAGCAGCCAGGTGCAGCCGCCCCAAAGCAAAGTCTACGCAGTCCTCAAAACCCAAACTTTCACCCCAAATATTCCCTCTTCATCTTCCATTTCCCCCCAAATTTTCCCAATTTTCCCTCAATTTTCTGCCCAATTTTATCATCAAAATTGCTCCATTATCATTTCTCATGCATTTATAAGCTTCTTAATCGTCATTATTCAGCATTCTGCATCAATTTTCTCCCCAATTTTGTCATCAAATTACTCCATTATCATTTCTCATGCATTCATAAGCTTCATAATCGCCATTATTCATTGTTCTGGTTACCATGTTCTCTTCACAATCTCAAATGGCTTCGAGCCTCATGCGTTTCAAGTCAGCTCCAGGCTCTCTGTTAGCGAGTCTTGTGGACACCAGCGAGGATTCGCCGGAAAATTTCATAGGGAGCTACTTTTCCGGCGATTCGTCTGCCGGAATCACATCCGAATCGAGCTGTGCGGTGTCGCTTTCGCCGGATCTGGAAGAGATTCCGGCCGATTTTAGGGTGGAAAATCTGAATAAAGGGAGCTATGGTGAACCGCCGGCCATTTTCGGGCCTTCAGATCGAGGGAAAGGGACTTCGTGTTATGGTCAGATGGATGGGACGGCTAGGATCTCTCCTGCGGGATTTAGGAGTGGGTCGCTTATCCGGCATAGCAGCTCTCCGGCTGGGTTTTACGGTGAGTTAGTTATTTTGTTTCATCATGGTGTGGTTTCTGAGGTTGCAACCTTAAACAATCCAATTAAGGCGCACTTCGAAATTTCGTCATAACATGCAATTTTGGTGAAACAAATTCTTACGATTATCTCAAAATCTATTTTCATATGTTATTAACTTATTATAATACTTTAAACTCCAAAAATGGTTAAAATATCTCTAAACATATGAAAATCTTGAAAATAGACTGTCTAGATATCTGTACTTCTATATTTTAAGGTTGCAACCTGATATAAACTTTTTCCTTTAATCATTTGCTCAATATTGTGTTTATTGATTTGGAAGGTTTTTTTTTTTTTCGGTTAAATAACAGAAAATTCTGACTGATATTAGGGTGAATTTTGTAAGAGAAAAATGGAAATTTTTTTTGTGCATTGATAATTATTGGTTTTTTCAATATTGTGTTTTTCCTTTTCTAAGAGCTTTTGGAAGTTTTGATTTTATCCTTATTTTTCCTTTTTTGTGGTTCTGATATGTAATATGTGTAAGATTCTTTTGGAGTTGAAGTTTGAAAGGCACAGAAAAATAAGGAAAATTGTTTTATGGGGGCTGGACCGCATTTCTACACATGCGGTTGAAGGGTGAAGCTTCCATCTCAAAGATGGATGCGAGCAGGTTCCATCTAAAACCAATGGAAACTAACGCTCCATTTGTTTTGTTATTAAAATTATTATTTTTAATTTTTAAAATTTATTTATTTCTTCATATTCATGATCTCCATATTAGAGGTTACTTGTCCTTAAAAATTAATCCTTAAAATCCATCTTAAAATAGATTTATTAAGTGGCCGAATTAAGGCTTGGCCACATAAAAAAAGAAAATAGTAAAAATTTGCTCAAGCTGAAACAAATTATTATTATTTTGAACAGTAAGATGAACAGTTGCAGTCCAGTAAAAAAAGAGACTTTACTTCCTCCTTTGCGTTCTATGTTAACTGGCTTCCCAGTAATAGTTCAGCCCAACCGCACATATCTGTGTGTCACACTTTTTTTTATTCTTATTTTTAGAAAAAGATGAGGTTTTGTAAGGCCTGGCCTTTATAAAAACAGAATAAAGCATCACCTCAAATCCATGTTGAAAAAGTACTCTCTGAAAACAGAACTCCCTATGATGCTTTAAAATCAATTTCCAACGCAACAATAAAATTTGAAACTAAAAAATTGGTTAAGATCCAACACTCATTTTTAAAGCAAAATGGATAATTTAGATAATTTCTTATTATATACATTATTTTTAGAGTTTAAAATCCTAATTTATTTTTACAACTATAATGTTGCAGTCGAGATGATTGATGTATATATTTTTCAATGCTTTAACTTGTAATTTTCTATAAATTATGAGGTGAGGATTTACTTATTTTGATAGGGTGCAGCCCTGTCAAACCATTGTCCTTTAAAGGGATAAGGGAAAACCTTTATACATGTTATTAGGGGTGTCAACAGGCCTTGGGTGGGTTCTATCCCGGCCCATGTCCCCATAGGGCCAGCCCTAACCTTGTTAGGGCCAGGTCAAAAAGTAAATGAAGAAAATTCTTTTTGAAAAACAAGGCCTGGATCAAACCGGGCCAGCACTGCCATAGCCTAGCCCTCAAGCCATGGCCCAAGGCCCTACTTTTTTTAGGGCCGGGCCTCCCAGCCCCATTGCTAGCCCTACATGTGACTCATCTTCCCTAACCGTGTTTGTTGTTCAAATTATTTTAAGAGCAGAAGTTTCACGATACAACGAAGAAAGCGGCAACCGCCTGGTATCGTGCTAGTTTTGAAGAACGAGCTTGTCTTATAGGATGAAGTTTCTATAAGCCCTAGGCTTTATGAAAACAAAATAAACCCTCACCTCATATCCTTATCCGGGAAAGACAATTGGCAATGAAAATCTTTATATTTCATATCCTTATCCGGAAAGCACAATAGGAAATGAAAATCTTTATAACAGCTTTAAAATCAATTTTTAATGCTGACAGTAAAATTTGAAATTTAAAAAATATTATAAATTTTGCAGATCTTTAAGCACTTATTTTTGCGATGAAATGGATGGTCTTAATATTTTGTTATAATATAAACTCTTTTTAAAACGTAACGACAATATTCAACCAAGATCGATTTAAAGGTTTTCTATGCTTGAATTGCAATTTTCTATGCGTTATGAGGTTAGGCTTTATTTATTTTGATTGGGCTGCTGGCCTATCGAACCATGTTCCTTATTTTGTGTCTGTCCTTGTACATTCTGTTAATACATTGGGGAGCGGAACCTAATAGATAAATACACATGTGGTAGGTACTTAGCAAACAGAACGATATAATTTCGGGGGTTATATTTTATCGTGTTGGAAAAAGTGGCAATTTTATACGTAGGGATTATCTATCATGAGATCATTTATTTTTTGTACAAGGAGTCACAATCATTTTTAGTTATTAGATATGAAATTCAATAAGTAAAAATGCGACACAATATTTGAGAAATTTTGTTTTGGATTTTATGCCTAAACAATGATACATCCTCAACTACCCGATTTTAAATCTATTGGTCAATATTGCTTGTGAACTTCTTATATAAAAAACAAATGGTCTTATTGTATACATTTTTTTATAAATAAGATAGTATATACAATTCAATCGTTCACTTTTGATACATGGGACGCGACAATCATTATCGACCGCTATATTTGAGATCATGTAGTATGGGATGTGTCATTGTTTGGGTACAAAGTCTGAAATAAAATTTCTTGAACGTTGTGACACACTTTTATCTATGAATTTTATATCCAATAGCAAAAAATAATTGTGACATCTTTGTACCAAACATAAATATGTTCATAGAATATAATCCCAGTAAGTAAATTTTGTCTAAAGAAAAAAGTTCTCTTGTGACTACCCTAGATGTGGGTCAAAAAGTGCCAAAGCCCAATTCACAAAGTGCAAAAGCATACCCTAGATGTTGTCTAAAACTAGCCATAAAAGCCCAATTCAATCCCAAGATATTTCATATCACAGTTACAAGTACTTGTGACTAAGGGTGAGAATTGACCCATTTTGGATCCGAAACTCGGATTTCGAATCCTATTCAGATCCAAAATTTGGATCCAAAATCCGGATTTGGACCTAACAGTGAGGTTTGAATTGAAATCCAGATTGGATTTGGGTGTAGTGGATTTGATCTGGATTTGATGCAGATCCAGATCCAGATACAACTCGATTTTTTAAATAGTAAATTTTTTTTTTATATATAAAATTTTAAATAGTATATAAATATATAGAGTAATCTGGATCGAGTCCAGATCCTTATTTGATATGTTATTCGGATCCAAATCCGAATATCTAGGATCCGGTTTGAACCTGGATTCAACTTGGATTTGGTATTTACTATTCAGATTTGCATCTGAATCTGGTTGGATCCAGCCCCGATCCAACCCGTTCTCACCTCTCCTTGTGACCTCCTTGTATCAAAAGGTCAATGGTCTTACTATATACAATCCATTTCAAGTAAGTGACTTAAAAATACCGATGTTTTATGAAAATGTTGAATAGGCCCCTAGCCTTCACTTGAAGTCCACATAAACTCTCCATTCTGTTATCACTTATTTAACCAGCATTTTTTGTGGTAGTAGTGCCCTGTTTTGAAGGAAAAGTAAAATTAACAAAATCCTTGTAATACCCAAGATTCCATCAATGATGGGAACTGAATGGAACTTATATGGTCCAATGTAATCTTTACGATTTACACTGTCCTACACATCTAACATTACGACTAATTTACCCTCGTTGTCTCCGAACCGTTATACCTTATTTATACCTTATGAAAATATGTAGGAGGTTTCTCGGTTACAAATGGTCTGGCCAATTTTACGACGGAAAATGGTTTGAAACGGTTGAGTTCCCAGATGAGCTTTTCAACACAAAGTTCCACCCCAGGCCTGTTGTCCCCGCTATCTGAAATGAGCTTGCCAGAAACTGGGGACAGTTTAGCCGGAAGTTGTGTTGAAGAAGCCGGTCAACACTACATTTCCGGGGTTGCTTCATGGGAAAATGGCCTCATTGCTTTCTCTTCCAGGAAACGAGGTAGAGATGTTGGTGGCGATGTTGCTAGCTCTTCAGACTCACAGGTACCTTACATTGACTCTCTCACTCTTTCAGCTGAGAACTTTACATTTGAACTTAAGCTTCGTGGAGGAAACCATCACGATTGTGTAGGTTAAGACTATTTATATTCGGTAAGCGTTGTGTTTCACAAAAAATTTGAGAAATTTCGTTTTGGAACTTTAAAATAGTAAAAGGAAAACCTGGCCACTCAGATTTTGTATCAAATGCCAAAAAAAAAAAAAAAAAAAAAAAACTAATCTTTATGTGCATGGATAAAAAGGAAAGTTTATCACGTTTTAGAGGAGCAAATAAAAAATATTTAATCATGTGGCACTGGGTTCCAAGATGATGGCGAGCAGGATGTACAACCAAAGTATATCGGCTCCCTTTCATGCATGCAGCCGTGAGAAGTATGGTATACTGTTCTATACCAGATTGAACAACATTTAAAAGGAAAAAGATTTTTGGTCTGCTGGTGCTCGATAAAACATGGTGCTAACACCTAAATAATACAGTACAGTTAGGTGATTTCGAGGGTCTACCCATTGCTTTAGAAATGTTATTTGAGCCAAAACACCCGCCGAATTGGTGGAGGGTTTTGGTCTAGTCAAATTTGTCTGAACACTAATCAAACATATTGAGTTACATTTTAAAAAATAAAATATTGAATAATAATTTTTAAATATAAAATGTATTACAAAAAAAGTTGTCTAAGTTTGATTAGCCAGTCAAAACCAATCAATCCGATCAGCCAAAACCGGTCAAACATTGATTTTGACCAGTTTTCAACCAAACTCAATTTTTGCTTTGGACTAGACCGGCCAAGGCACTGGTCGGTGGTCCAACTAGTCAGACTGGCCGGTCCAATTTGGTCTTGATCATAGTTATCAAGACCAAACTGGACCGCCCATTTTGATTAGTCGGACTTCCAACTAGTGCCTTGGTTGGTCTGATCCAAAGCAAAAATCGGGTTTGGTCGAAAATTGGTCAAAACTAATGTTTGACCGATTTTGGCTGGTCGGACTGGTTGGTTTTGACCAATAGGACTAGTTAAACAATGTTAGGCATTTTTATGTAATATGTTTTAGATAAACTATCTCATCCCCATCATGTGGATGATGAAAGTGTGTAGAAATACCCTTGTACGGTTCAGATTGAATCAAACTATATCCAACAACTATAAAATAATTTTCTTTTTATTTTTTATTTAAAAGCTATTTTTGCATAAAATTAGGGGCGTATATTCATTTGTATAGAGAGCACCAAATAAAAATAATCGAAGACATTTTGAATAAAAAATTGACTAAAATGCCCCAAAATCATTCATGGGTATTTTGTTGAATTTATTTTATTCAAAATAAGATTTTATTATTATTATTTGTTGCGCATTATAAAAATAAATTTACTTCCAAAATTTGAAGCAAAAATAATTTTAATAAAAAATAAAAATAAAAAGTAAAATTATTTTAAAACCCTTGGATAAGGCTAGGTTCAATCTGAACCAATAAAAGGCGTTTGTACACCCTTCAAGTGTCCATATCATGTGGATGCTCTACGCCATCCCTATGTTTTATGTTTTGAAACTGTTATTCTTTGGTCTTATGCCTCAAAATCGGATCTAACCGGTTCGGTCAACAATTGAATCGATTTTGACTAGACTAGAGTCATCAAACCCCTCACCAATTTGACAGTTGATCTAATTTTGATAACGTTGGTCTTAATAATGGTAAGAAGTACCTCCCTACCAATATTCCCTACCCACACCTCCTACAAAGATGACATAGATGGCTATAAAGAAGAAATTCGACCTAAATTGGCTGATCTAGATCGGGAATCGGCGGGAATTAGGCAAGTCCATAGTTAGAACTAGGAATCAACAGTTTCCTCCCGTTCTAGTCGGATTGCTTGGTTCCCACTTTTTATTTTTATTTTTTTAAGCTTTTTTCAATTTTATAATTTTTAGTTGGTTGATTGTTTCAATTGGATTGCCGATCTGGATTGGCATTCTTTGATCCAAATCGATATACCAAATATCCGGTTCTTTGATATGATATAAAGCCGACCAATTAGACCTGTAGTTATCAAGACGAGACTGGACACGCGGTCCTGGATTGCTGACCAATGTCTTGGTCGGCTTCTTTCATAATAACAATATTAAATCTAATTATTAACAATATTGAAAGAAATTATTATTTAAATGGCATAATTTGATCATATTCTTAAAGTCAAATTTACCCCCGTTTGGGTGCAACAAAGAATTAAATAAACCAAGACCGTTGTGTTCAAGATACTAGCTGCGTTGCTGTTTTACTCGTACATCAAGTAAAATAAAAAACCCAAATATTTTATCTCATACACTGATTAAAATTTCATTTTGGGCAATGATCTAATGCAACGATTGTATCATAGTATAATGCAACTATATTTCTAAAAAATCATATTTGTGGTATTTGTATGATTTAAAATTTTGTACACTGCATTATATTACTATACAACTGTTGCATGAAATAACTGCCCAAATATTTGTAAACAAAACACCTTTGTTGTTTTTGAAGTACTCATCTCCTTGGAAATGTAGCCACCATTCTAAGAAAAAAAGATTATTACGTACTAAAAGATAAATATTTGAATATGAGGAACATAGAAAATAATTGAATGAACAATAACATAACTGAATATATGAGGCATTATTGGGTGCTGAGAGAGTGGAAGAGTCTAACTGAAGAGAGTAACTTGTATTTGTCACAATGTCCATATCTCTAAAAGATGATTAGGTATAAATGCAAAAGTTGTATTACCCACTAAATTCAAATTTAAATATAATTTGAAGGGAGGAATGCAACTACAACGGCTCTATTTCAACAGCGACATCAATTGCGTTGAAACAACTAAATTACCGATCTTGTTGCTCCTTTACGAATGCGCCAATTTAAGGCATATCATCACCAAACCTCATCCACACTAGGAGTAATTCCATGATATTTGTTATGACCTCTCTTTTTCTTTTTTCTTTTTTTTTAAAAAAAATGAAAATTACTAACTTCATTAATATCAGAGACTTAAAATATCAAAAGGAAAAGGTAATAAGTTGTTTTTTTTTGACAAGAATGCGGTGATTTTATTAAAATAAGATCATTACAATGAGATTACAAGTCAGAAGTTGATGAAAACGTAATAAGTTACACCGATGTATAGACAATTGATAGGTCCCGTAATGTTAACCTTGTTTGTTTAGCCAAAAGATCTGCTTTCCCATTTATAATTCATCATACCACAAAGATCTATAATTTGCGTCTACACTGTCCTGAGCTTCCATGGAACTACCTACTCAATGTGACACTATCTGATAGCCTTTTTTGAATCACTTTCAACTAAAAGAGTATTACTCTATCCTAACACTATAAAAAAGTTCATGCCCTGCACCAAAGCATACATCTCAGCTTCATTAGTACTTGTAACACCACACAAACTTGAATGCATCCCTTGTAATCTCCTATCAAACCTCCCAATTCTATCGGACCGGTATTGCCCAACGAATTTCCATCAAAATTAAGCTTCAAAAAACTTGAGGAGGTAGAACCCGGTCCCTCCATGCTTAACTATTCCCATTTTTACTGTTTTATCAAGCTTCAGTAGTAAATCCACCTTAGAAACGCCAAAGCAATATCTATTAGTTGTATCCCAACTAAATATTGTATCTAAGATTCTGTAATTGATCAATCATTATTTATCCATCAAATGCTCTATTTCTTTCTTTTTCAAATCTCTCAAAAAATAACTGATCAAAACATTTTCCAAATAATTCTCCCAACTTTTGGCAAGTAAGGAAGATCAAGGTGGTAATTCAAACACCCATTTTATTGAACATCCACGACCATAAGTGATGTGCAAACGGCCAATTAGCAATTAAGGAAAAGATGGTTCCCATCTTTGTCATCGTTTTTGCACAATAAACAAATATTAACGATCACTCTTGTTTTTTCGTCAACTCCTGAACTATAAGAATGTGTCCCAAAGTCAACGCCCAAAAAAAGATTTGAACCTTATGAGGTATTGGCCACTTGTCCTTGTGTCACTCCATCTCAATTGATCATTAAAAAGCAGATGATGCAGTGATCTCACCGCAAATCTCCCATTTGTTTTGCACACCTAGATACCTCATGCTCATCTCTTCAAAAACAAAGAAAAAGATACCTCAGGCTTCAAGGGAGATGAAAACCTCCTTCAATCTAATTAACAAAGGGCTAAATTGGTTAATCATCTCATCAAGTGATTTTGCTTTAGTATTCACCTCTCCTTCATTGGTATCGTTCGTAAAGGTTGTACTAGTATTAACCATTTAGCGAACAAAACTTTATACGTCACCTTTTAAAATTAGTTCCTATTGGATTCACTGGTTCGAGCACTATCACACAAACCTTCTCACAAAAATGCAGATGGCGCCACGAAACCCAATTATCGGACAAAAGTACCAGAATGTATGTATGTGTATGAGTGGGAAAAAATACGATTGCGCAAATAAATAAATAACTTACAGGTATCGAGATTTATGTGGTTTACTTTTTCAGGCTATGTTTTATGGAGAAAGAGATGAAATCCAATAATAAAAATACTGAAGTGCAATGATCTCCCAAGAGACAAACACTTTCTTGGGCTTTACGGTTCTTTCTAAAAGCTTTCTCTCTTTAGGATTTTTTTTTTTTGGTTCGTTTTTCTCCAATAAGTTTTCTTCTTTGTTTAGGAATATCTTCCTCTTAGCGTTTCTCTATCTAAGATGATCTATATCTCCCCATAAGAACTCTCTATCTCTTTCTCCCTTTAATAGGTTCTTTTTTCTCTCTTCGGTTCTTCCTTCTCTTCTTCTTCTCTTTCTCGGACAAAAGGAAAGAAAAATCTCTCTTAGGGTTTACCTTCATTTAAGAGGCTTCTTTGTCTTTTCTATCTGAGCGAAACGAAAAAATGCATTTTTTCAAAGAAGATAAATACTATGTATTAAGATAATCACTTACACATTTTATATAAT